TGCTCCCAGTGTTTAGTATTGATTTGTCACTTTCACATCCAAGGTTTAAAGAAAGAAAGGGTTGCTGGATGAGCACTTTGTGTATGAAAAGTAATATATAAAATAAATAACGCTTAATAAAGTTTGAAGCTCAGCAAAAATGTGAAGCAACAAAATCAAATTGCTTGTTTTTAATTCAGTTGAATTCATTGCTGTGTAATGGAACTGCTATGTTTGAAGAATCTATATTTTTTGCTAGCGTATGTTCTGTTTGTGTTTATTCAAATTTGTATTGATTACATTGTCACTAAAGCATCTACATAGAGAGAAGGATGTGATTTTGAAGTCTATAATTTGGACTTTAAACAGTAAAGTGTATGAAACATCAAGAGTTGCTTTCAAATGTTTGATGAAGCTAATGTCCTCAACAATATTAATCAGTCTACAGCCATCCATTTGACAAAGTGGACTTACTTACTGCCCTGCACCTGGTGAGACTGGTCAGATGCAAGCTGAGCATCTGACCTGAAATTGGGTCTTCCACAAATGCATGCAGGGGAGTTGAGATGGTATTTTAAGCTGGAGTATGGACTGTGAGTTAGAGACTGATAAGTGAGTAGACGGTGGAATTAATGGATATAGAGTTCTGCCAATTCATTAAAAATGTTTTAAAGGGCTCATGATTTGTCAAAAAAGAGAGGCCACACCATGGTTTTTGTCACAGCACCACCAAAGAAAGGGTTAATTCTGTGACCAGCCACTGAGGCACTGAGTGGGCATGAGCATGAGAGAGAGGAATAGCTTAAAAAAAAAGTGAGAAAATTAAGGAGAAGAAAACCAGAGCTGCCATGTTTTACACATTTAATATTAAATTTCAGCTGCTTTCTACTTCTGCGCCATAAGTCGATGCACCTTCCCTTACAAGTTATAATTAAGAACTTTTAAGTTCACAGCGTTAGGCTTTAAGTAATGGTTACAGAATGTTTCTAATGTTCAACTAAGTCTGAGGGTTTTCAGGTGTCACAGTCATAGCTCAGAGCTAGAATGAACCTGCAAGGATTTATGGGAAGGAGAAGAAAATTTCCTTCAAGTAAATGACCGTAAACAACAGTACATGTGCTGCAGAGAAATGAAACTTTTACTGTCTGGAGAGAAATTTGTCTCTGAGCCGCCACAAACGTAGTGATTAATTTACCAGTGTGTGCGTTGCCTCTCACACTTTATATAAAAGTAAAAGCACTATCAAAAAAAGTACTATGAAAGATTTATTGTCCCTTTTTAGAAATAGAGTATTGTGCAGTTTTTAAAATCTTGTGTGAGGCTACGTTAACCTGAAAGTACATGACTAGAATTAACTTATTTTTAAATTTGCATTATCCTGGAGTGTGACAGGTTGGATCGTCATGTTTATACACACCCTCTTTTTTCCAAGGTTACCAATATGTTCTGTTTCATTGTTTGACGTTAAAAGTGAAGTGAGGGATACTGAGCCACAACATGGAACTTCACAATTAGATGGCACTAAGTTCTTCACATTACACCTTTCATTTGAAGAACTTGAAATTCTTATCTAACTCCACATCTTCAAAATGTTATCCATATCCATCTACTTTATATAAAGTGAAGTGATCTGTCTATCAACCTATTTTATGGTAGTTGTAATGGCCTTTTGCTGTGTACCAAAGAGTCTGTCACGTAATTTTACTACATTGACAACTTTGTAAATAGCTCACTCCTCTACACTGTCATATTTTTGACATGGTTAACTCAAATTCATGGCTCAAAGACTACAGTCTTTATGTTGATGATGCAAAACAATGCAGAAGGTGGTCAGAAAACAATCACCAACTGGAAGAGAAGGAGAAGAGAGTGCAGATAATATAGGGGAAAAAAGTGGAACACTGCTGAGACGCAGGTGGAGCACATTAGAGAAGAGTGGGCCATCACAGAGGCTGGCAAAGGCTTGGGGTTCAAGGGCATGGACACAAGAAAAAAGAAAGTGAATTAGGGGAAAGCCAAACAGGAGGTGAGAGATAAAAAAACAAACAAATGATGTGCATACAATAAAGTAGCGGGGAGAAAACTCTCAGCTGGAAGGAAAGGATGCGACTTGCACCAAAATATGGGAAGAAACATTTCCAGCTGAAGTAAAATTAATCAAAGAGTCCAACCAGCAAAGTAAATATACACACATGCTTGTGCACACACACAGTGTTTGTAGCAAGCAGCAGCAGAGTGCAGCCTTTGTTCATGGGCAGATGACTCAGGACAAAGTTTTGCTGACCAAACTGTTGAACTGATCAATGACTTAAGATTTGCCTCTAAAAATAAACATCAGCTCCAATGGAAGGCGTCATCCTGACATCCTGCTGCACACAGCAAAACACCAGGCCTCAAAATTCTATTTTTGGATATAAACATAATCAAAATGTACAGGATTAGGTTAAGTTAGACTTTTTTTTTTTTTACAAAAAATATTCAATTTTATTCATTTGGGTTGAGAGGTCAGAACTTAATACAGTATGTTAGCTTCTCTTTTCAGGTCTTCATTTGTGACAGTGTAGAGGAGAGAATTTCTGTACATATCCCCAAAAAATATTAAAATGTTTTAAATTTTTTACTTTGAACTCATCATCTAATACCAGAAGAAAATGCTACCAGAGCCTTTATGTCACTCTTCTACTTAAATCACACCCCTGACATGAGTTAAACAGCATTTTGCCACAGGCTTGTAATGATTTGAAATGGTACACATAATTTGAACAAGGAGAGTTTGTACTCTCAAATGATGCATAAAATTTCTACAAGCCTCTGCTGCATCCGCTCCATCTCTCTATTATTGAACAGACCTGTTAAATGGAGTGAGCAGGGACTGCTAAAGAGCAAATGGTCCACACACGGTCTGCACTCAATTTGTGTGATTAAATGGATGTTTGCAGAATAATTTGGTTATTTATTTATTTTAGGTGAGACCAATCAGGTCTTTGAAGCATTGCTCAGGCTGTGTTTGGTTTTGACTTTAATGACCACGTGTGATCGGATCACACTTTAGCTTTCTATGCATTTACATATATGTTTTTAAAGCAGCAAACAGTGTGCAGATAAGGTTAATGGTTTGCACAAGTTCTGAGACAGAGCCTGTATTTTAACAGAATTATGTAACCCAACCGGACAAGTTCTGAGACAGAGTATTATAACAGATTTTAACAGAATTATGTAACCCAACCACCGTGTAATTCATCAGTCCAACCATTAATTCATTAATTCATTCATTCATTTTCTACATCTTGATTTTCAAAAGGTCTTCTTGAAAGTTAATCCAAACATATATTCACAAGAAAATATATATACACACATTTAGCTGTATGCCTTTTTTTTAATGTCCACATTTTGGACAGTGAGAGGAAACCAGAGAGTAGTACCAAAGTGACATCAAGGAACACATGGGGAGAACATGGAAAGTCTGTAAAAGAAGTGTCACAATAGGGGTGCAGGCAGGACCCAAATGCAGCACTCACTACTCAGAACAGAGGAATCAGGTTTAGTTCTTTATAAATAAAGTCCAAAATCAAAACAGAAAGGGAAAAAAAACTAAACCAAACTGCACAACTAGCAACAGAATATATCGGCGAGGCAAGAACAGAGACAAAGGGTACCCATGACAGGAAAAGAGTCATCTGCTCGAGAAGGTTTGGGAACCTCTTTTCGAGGGTATAAGAACCAACAGTAGAAACCAATAACAGCATCAAACCAATGGCAACAGAAGTTACATACCAGAACCTAAACAGAGTGACTTTTTCTTAATTTCCTGGAGCCTGTAACCTTTCACCCTAAAGTCCACCACACCATCCAGAAGAGTGAAAGCCAATCTGAGCTTTAACAACAAAGCTGCCCAAAGATGGATGAGTTCAAAAATGAAATTTTACCCCAAGAAATATCACATTTTAAAAGTTTTCCTTTAAAAGTGTAATTTTCGAGATCAGTTACATGATAAAGGCTGAATACTTAATGCACAACTGGGAACACTGAGTCTTATTGAATCACATCACAGTATAATTCAATTATGTCACATCTAATCACATCACAGGACAATTTAATCAGTGAAGAAAGTTGTTATTGAAAAATGATCTCATTCCCAAACAGCCCTTTAATCCTGTTTTACCATAGTGTCAGATATGAGAGCAAAACATACAATTCACATCTGCAATTCCAATTTGCATCATGCCTTCAAAACATTTAACATTACGTCCTTTTAAAACATAAAAATGGAAAAAAATTGGTTAAATTTTTAAACAACAGCTTAAATACAATAAAACACAGAGTGATTTTCAACAATCTCTCTTTTTAATTTTATTACATTAGTGTATTGACAGGTTGTGGAAATAGTATTCAATCAATAAAAGTTGAAAGTCACACGTTTTTTTTCTTTTTGTCTTCTTTTCCAAACGACGTTGGAAACCACCATTAGTCTATTGGCTTAGAATATTTACAGTAACGTCCACGTCGTAAATCAACACAGTTTACCAGACAAACATTGCCTGTCATGTGGTTATGAAAGGAAATGACGTACTCAGCATCAACCTTTTGTAGAAGAGCCAGTATTTGTGTCATGTGTAGCCTATCTCGTCTTGCTATGCATCACAAAAACAAGAACCCAGAAAAGAATTTAAAAGGAAAATCTCTTCACCAACAACACAAGCGAAGGTTGACGTCATTCATCGTTACACAAACTGGTCATTTAATAAAATGGTTATTTTAGGATACCAAACTAGTCTAACGTGATATTTACATATATGTCTCAACCAGACAAAACCACAACATAGACATAGTAATATCACAGTGTATAGCTATAATGCAACATAGCCTAATCTACCAATCAATAGGCAATTCGACCTCGAGCAACAACCATATCATATCCATAGCTAGCTTAGAATCAATGGCTAGTCTCTGACAGCATTTTTAAACCAAGTAATCATGTAAAAATACAGACATAACCAGCGATGTTTAAGTAAACGTCTTACCTTATGACGATTCACACAGACCCGGGCAATGGTGTTCTTTATCCATATCCATTCGACGTTATGTATTTTCAAAAGCGTCCGAGCACGATCTTCTTTACAGGCAGCTGAATGTCTGAATAAAAACGTCAATTATATCTTAATAATTAATTCAACAACTTCTTCATTTAAACGTTTATCGAATTTGATTTCTGGTGTTCTATATACATTACTGCAGTTGATATATCCGTGTTGCGTTAGCTTTTTCTAGTTAAAAGGTTTTGAGCTCACCGTTCTTTTTTTTTTCGCGGGCATAATGTCCATGATGAATCTACCGGCTTTTCGCGGTTAGAGTTGACCAATCAAATCACTCGACGGAAATATGCGTTTTGACATTTGTTTCTAACCCGCAGATTCACCACTAGATGTCCCATATGATCACTGTAAATTCAACAAACAAACACCATGAACCCCAAGTCTATGTTGTGTTAGAAAAGGGAAAAAAGGGAATAAATGTTTGTTTTATTTATTAACCATTTTTCACGATGAGTGCCGCTTTGGCCCAGAGGCAACGTCTCTGTCATTGGTGTGGAATCTGAACTGAAAATTTGAACTGAGTCAGTTCAACTGACTCAGAATCACTTTTTACCTTCACAATACACATCGAGACAAAGTTGAAGTACATCTTGTGCGTAGGCATGCGCAGTAGGTCTGAAATAGCGGCGATTTTGAATGTCTTCCTGAATCCACTGGAATAAATGTCAATGACATGGGCCCACATTCTTCAAAGTCACGTTTTATTCAGAGTCTTACATACACACACAAAATAAATAAATAAGTGTCATTATTGATGACACCGAATCAGGAGTTCTCAGAATCAGATAAGATCTGGTTGGAATTTGTACATAACTACTGGGCATTAATTGCTCTAGGGATGTGTGATATAAAGATATGTGTTAGATGCAGAGATAAAACATTAAGCAACACAAAAAATCCTAAATTGCCAGAATTTCTATTGCACGAACAGAATCATAGGGATTTAATGGCTGGAGCGAACATCACATGAGAGAGAAGTCTTGTGTCAGCTCAAACCCTCTCAAACAAACCAGGAATAACCGAATTAAGTGGTGGTGTAGAGTTCAAAAGTAGACTGATGTAGAGAGAAATAATGATCTTTTGTTGGAATGATGATTATTAAAGGAAAAAGTTTAGCTGAGTTTATGTACATCCTCAGGAAAATAACCCGTAAACGAAAAAACCCTAATCGAATTAAGCAAAAACATCCTTCCTATGACATGTGGTTGGGGTTTAATGAGAAATTCTTTTATTATTATTATTATTATTTGTTTGTTTATGACTTATCAAACCACTCACAAGGCACAGGAGAACAATGGCCTGGGGATAATAATACCAAAAAAAGAGGGCAATGAACTCAGATGACTTTTCTCTTATAGTAATAATGCACTGGTTGTCTTTCATTGGGTCTCATAATAACAATAACAATGGTAATAGTAGCTACAGCATCTGTAAAGTATACATTTTACCTGATAAGATTATTTACCTCCACAGTATATCAGCCAAAGCCACATATAAAAACATCAGATTCCCAGTAGACCACAAGGGGGAGCCCAAGAACCATTAGTGGTACACGCACCATATGTTGACCACCAAGGCATTGGTGGCTTGGTGGTTAAGGAAGTGGACTTGGGTCCGGAAGGCCTCAGGTTTGAGTCCACCAGCTGCCAAGCTACTACTGAAGTGCTCTGAGCATGGCACCATCCCCACAACCAGCACCAACACCCTCAGACAAGGACTGGTTCATCCAAAGGACAAAATACATCACCACAAACAGAGCAACGTTGTATATGCAGTGAGGAATGCCCTGATCTCTGAAAACAAGACCAGTTTCATTTCAAAGGACACAGAGCCAAAAGTGTCACTCAGGTGAAACTATTAGTCCATATTTATGGTACCACTCCCCATTCATACCTCTAAGCTTGTGACTTTACATTCCGTCCTGCTCTAAATAGGGAGGGTTTCTCCACACCTCCATCTCCCCTTTCCGCAATGACCCTCGTTACAGGTATGTAGCCCCCTGAAGGCTAAATACCAGAATTCCCCAGTGGTCAGTCAGAACTGAAGAAGCCTCTTGGATGAGAGGTGAAACGTCTTTAAAAAAAACACTTTGTCCAGCTGCTTTTGATGTAACTATTTTTGGATTAAATGACCTGGATGACTGAGAACCTACACTGACACGTCCCCACACACTGCTCCCCGGGCGCTTAAAGCTGCCCACTGCTCACTTTGGTGATGGGTTAAAAGCAGAGGTCACATTTTGTTGTGTGCAGTGGTAATTGGGGAAAAAAAAGACCTAAAACCAGTTCTACTTGTTCTTTAGACATACTCCTCAGTCGCCTCATCCTACAAATAATGGACAACCATAACAATAGAACAATAGAAGAATAGAACATTGAAATATTTCCTTTAAATAACAAAGTTCATCATCGAAGCAAACCAAACACTATGCATGGTGCAAGGACATATGAAATACACATTATTTGGTCCAAACTCTCTGTTTCAGTGCCTTAATCTGCAGATTCCCAAATATCCGGTGGTACATGTTCCTATGCACACAGTTTTCTTTGTTCTGCTTCAGTGATTTAGTTTTATTTGAACCAGAATCTGAATGAAATAGCAATTTACTTTAATTTGTCTTAGTATTGTATAATTGTACCGTAGTATTTGCATAATTTGTGATGTTTGTAAAGTTAGATTAGAAGCTGTATTTTATATCTTATCAAGGAGCCTTTAATAAAACTCCATTATGTGGTAATGCTATAAACCTTGAAATATAATATTACCTTGTTAAAACCAACCTTTGCAGACACTTCCTCACAAGTATATGTTTGGTGAGAGGCCATCACATTCTGATATAATCTCCAATTTCAGTTTGGTAGACATCTGTCAACTTATTTGTCTAAGACTTTTTTGTTTTTAAATTAATGTAACAGAGGACAATACTGTATGAGAAAGCAAATTTTCACATTTTCAAGAGGTCATAAAACCCAACCTGTAAAGTACCTTCCCTGCTGCTGGACTGTTTCAGTGCTACATTGTTTTATTCTGAATAGCCGAGTGTTATTGTTACAGCTGTAACATCATGTTTTCTGGCTTGTTGGTTGGAAAGTTTGTCTTTTTAACTTCCTGATAGCAGCTTGGACAAAAGCGTAGTTGAGGTTGGTCCTGGTTTACACAAATTCCGTAGCCATCCTACAATAGACCACATGACCATGATTTAGAGCCAAAATGTTTACTATACTATAGTGCAGTGTTTCTCAAACTGTGGTACGCCTACCACCAGTGGTACATGAGCGCTCTCTAGTGGTACACGGGAAAAATTCATATTTTCACATTTATATTTCCAATTGAATAAATCTGAAACATACCATGCACAATTAAAAAACATTTAGAAAACAAATGTGTAGCTACTTGTGAGATTATGAAATAGGATGTCTGGTCTTTTTATTTATTTACTTGTTTTTTTTTTTGCTGCAGTGCAAGTCTGTTGCTCACGTAAGCACAGGCAGCACAGAATCATGGGATCACTTGCAAGTTGAACGTGGAACAAGCAGTGGAATTCTAATGTTGGTCTTCATGGTGGTACTCAGAGAGCTCAATGTTTTCTCAAGTGGTACAGAGTAGAAAAAGTTTGAGAACCACTGCTGTAGTGTAATTGCACTGTGAGTTTGACAAGATATGCCTATTTATAGACTCAATTTTAAAACAACAATGTCGTCAATCACATCACGTCCTCTACTAAGTTATTACACAAAACCAATAGGCTTGAATGCTCTAAACCCCACCTCACACCTGTACACAGCCAAGGACCCAGTAGGTGGCATGTTATTGGAATTATGTAAATACTGAAGACATACTGTCCATTATGTAGCCACATTTATTCAGAGCAATAGATTCAAGGAAAGGAAGAAGGAAGAAATATCCTGCTGCCACTATTGCACTTCACAGCTAATTGGCAGTAAATGAAGGAACCGATGGATGTACGTATGGATCTTCACCAGAGCCAACGCTGGTACCAAGAATGAAATCTTGTGTAACCTGTCCTAATCATTAACCGGATCTATATGGTATAGGGTCACTTGCACTGTTGTGCAAAGGAACACACCTATGAGGGCTCAAGTGTGTATCTTTGTAGAGAAACACCTCAGGTTCACCTCCCTGCTGGTAGTTATTAATAGGAACCTGTGTTTATTTCACTCCGCTGCAAAAGAACATCAAACATTTGAGGTTGTCCTTATCACATTTTTGTGAAAGATGACATTAGCTCAGACTGAACTTTATATCAGTTTTAGTTTTCGCAGTTTTTTTTAGCAAATTTATCTGAAAATTTGTCATTTTGGCAAACATGTACATTTTTTATTAAGTTTCTAAAATTGATATTTCAGATGTAGATTGTTTAGACAAACTTGATTAATTCATTTTAGTGGGAATTTTCTAGAATATTATGTACTGTGCATTTTTTAAAATGCTCCAGATCAAAATCAAGTAAATATATGTCTATACAACATTATAATTACAAATGTTTGAACATATGACTGTGATATTAAGTTTGAAAGTGGAATTCATGTAGGTTAATGTATGACTTTGACCTTTTGACTTTCAATGTTTTTTCTAATGTTTTCAACCCTAATATACAGCATAATAAAAAATAATATATAGTTCAATAATATTGAACAGAACTATTCCCAGGTGAAGTTTAAGTTAATACATATATATAATGTAAATACTGTGTCTACCCTGCTGTTATGGTTACTACTAGGTGTCTATCCTGCTGGGAATAGTAGTTTGAATGAAACATGACAGTATGTGTGAATGAGAGTGTCAGTAGTCGTCTGTCTCTACATGTTTCTCTATAACAGACTGGCCCATCACCCAGTCTGTTCATATAAACAGCCTGTTTAGTTCTCATTAAAATTGTGTGGCGTTTCATAAATAAAAAAAAAAACAGTCATCATCGGATGAGCGGCTCAAATGATCAAAAATACCACATGGAAAACTGCGGATTTAACACCTTTTCTGGAATGTCGTCAGCAAGAAAGAAGAGAGAGAGAAAGAATCAGAGGAATAAGTAACTCGGTGTGAGAAGTTTACTTTTTTTTGTTGTTGTTCAAAGTAGACTGACACACTTCCAGATGGGAGGGTACAGTGCATATCAAGTCCCGCCTCACACGCACACTCACACGCACACAGTGTGTTCCTTGCTGCAGACTTGACGCTATAAAATGAAGGAACTTGTCGGATTCGGGACGCAGTCTTTAGCTGGAGTTCCCTCAGTGGACTCTCACACTGTAACTGCAGGCAGCCCCGTGCGTTAAGTGCTGCTCTCACAGACGCACACTTTTGAGGGGAAAAAAAACCAAACCACAGAGACTCCTCTGACTTCGCCCCTCAGAAGCCTCGACCAGGTCGCCGGTTGCAGCAGTGACGGAGCAGCGGCAGCAGAACCATGGCAGGGGACGGTTCGGACCAACGTGCGCTGCAGTATGAACAGACTCTGGTGAGTTTAAACTTGTTGCTTCACTGAACTTTGCTCGCACTTCGCAAAGCTTTATGCCGAAGCGTTGACGGGGAAAAACCGAACTCCTGCTGACGGAGACGTCACTTTAAAGCCGCACGGCTCACTGGCAAAACGTGCAGCTGCTGTTACTGAACTCTGATGAAAAATGCGAAATGTGTGGCAGGGAAACGCGTGTTTCCGGCATTTATTTGAGACGAATTGGTGTTAAGAAGTGACAGAATTTGTCCATGTTTGTTGTGGTTCCCACTGCTTTGTCTCTACGTGAATATCAACTCCTGACGTGCAGAATTGGTAAAGTTTTCGGTGAAGTTCGTCCTCCTGCACAGTCAAGTGAAGGCAGCTGTGTATGGTTCTAGGTACGTACTGTATCTGGCCGGTCTGTGTAGCTTTGGTGATAACAGAAGCAGAGACACACTTGCATTTTGGTACAGTACAGTAAACCAACTCTGACAGTTTGTAGTTTTTGGACATTGTTGACGTAATATTTGCACAAACAGCTAGCCGGTGTTGTTTTCTGTATCAGTTGAGTGATAGACACTGATATACTTTTTTTCACACTTAGTGAAAAACACTGTTTTCTAAGTGTTTTTCACACTTAGTGAAAAACACTGTTTATTGGACTGCAAAGTTAGTGCTTATAAATTTGGCATGGCTTAAAAAACCATTTGTTTATTGACCAAACTAATGCTGGAGCCTAACAGTTTCACTTTGACACAAACTGGTGCAGGAGAGAGGGAAGAAAACTTTCTTCTTTTTTTAAAAAAAAATTAAAATTCCATAACAGGTGAGGTGCACAGTTTACAAAGGCTCCTGAAGACAGTATTGTATAATCTTATTATCATTCTTTGTCACTAACTTTATTTTTCCTCTGCTTTAAATTGAGTAAAGTATAAACAGTCTAAGTTGTTTTGAATGACATGAAATACACAATACTACAGATTTACAGTGGGTTCTGAGCAGGAGTTTGAAGACCTGAAGATCAGGAACGTAAGCATGCTCCGTACACTACTGTACTGTAGCCTGAAGAAGCCAGGTCCCTGTAGTGTACAGTGTATAAAAGCTGTCCAACACAACTTCAAGTTGTGCAATAAGAAGATCAGTGCTGCGTGGTGGCCTTATACCAACTCCGGGCGTGAACTGTGATTGACTTTGATTGGGACAACAAGAGTTACATTGCAACCTCACACCTTTATCTAAAATCCAGACTCTTTCATTGTACATGCCAAGATAAGACAATATTTGCCAATAGTTCTGAGGATTAATCATTAGAGCTAAAAGTTTTAATTGCATCTCTTATGCCCAGCCGCCATAATCCCAGAAATGTTAACGTCTCAGAGCCTTAGGTGCTGCAGCGGACCTAATGCTGTACTTTAAACCTCAGAAGGATTATATTTTAAAGCTGTGCTGCACAGCTTTTGTTTGTAAATAAAAATATATCTTCTATTACGTATGATTACACATCGACACACGAGGCTAATTTAGTCAACTCCACATGACTGTGTCTTTGATTAGCCACGATCAGAGTGAACATCAACATCAGCGTGAGACATAAGTTACATATATATCTAACTTAACCTAATTGGGCTGGACCAATACAATCAGTGCAATAAAATAATTAACTCTAAAGAACGTATTTATTCATATTTAATGAGATATAATCTCACAACAAATATCCTGAACATGAAGTGTTCAAAATTCATCAAGTTGGCTGGATTGAACAGCCTACCTGGCCCGTTTTGGCCCGTGGGCCGTATGTTTGAGATCCCCGCTCTGACATGAGGCGCGAGTTATGGGTTTTCTCTGGGGCTCGAACCCGGGAACCATGATAGCTGCTACACTGTGGAACCATCTCTACGTACACCACTATTCCACATCAACGGTGATTTTCAAAAGAGAGGACACATGATGCAAATAAAGGCACCGGGTCTAAACGTTTTTAGTGCAGCAACTGTGACCAAAGTGGAGGAGCTCTGAGGTTCCTAGACCCCTCTGAGCAGAGAACAAAACTCGCAGCATGCTCCTTAGAATGAACAAACTCAGGGAGGGGACTGCAGCCGGCATCCCTGGACTGCTCATTTTCTCCAGTTGAACTTTACCTCACAAAAACCTCTGTCAAGGCTTAGGAATCATCTAATTGTAGAGACTGTGTTTTATGGGCTGATTGGGCCCAAACGGAGACTTTTCATTCAAGAGGAGCCACAACTGTAGCAACTTGTTTGGGCCCCTGTTTCCTTTAAGTTGGAAAAAAAAAGTTTCTTTGTACAGAATCCCTCTCGCTCCCCTCCGCCCCTCAGTGTGCTGTTAATCTCTGTGTGTGTTCTAGAGTGATAGATTACACAACTGGCGACCCGCTGATTCAGCGCTGGACACTGCGTCACCCCGCTGTGGTCTCGTGCTCGGGTCTTCATCTCTTTGAGGAGAACGTGGAAAACAGCTATTACTGTAACAGTGAGAGAGAGGAAAAAACGTAATCTCAGATCCCCCTGTAGTGTTTTGATGATTTATGTGGGAATATAACAGACAAATTCATCTAAATAGCATCAAGTAAAAATAGCCTGTGTGAGAATAATCTCTTTTATCATCAATAAGTTCTCTATCGCTGCCTCCCTCCCCTTTTGGACGTGGGCTGTAGTAACACGGTGCCTTTGTGTCATACTGGCAGTGATGGTGCTTGTGTGGGTTTGTTGTGGGCACTGGATGCTCAAAGAGGCCACAGTGTAGTGTGGCCAAGAACACTGAAAGGCTGCGTGCAGAGAAATGTTAGTCAAATAAAAGCAGCAGTGTACAATTAAGAGGGCAACAAAGTGAATGTCAGTTTTATTTGTATAAATGATTTTATTCCAGTTCCTTTTAGAGAGTACAGCCAGGTGTTTATGCTGTTAATGGTGTGAAATATAATGTGGGTATTTTCTTTTATTTACTTAGTCCTGATGCTAAAAGAAGAGGTTGAAAAATCCACTGTTTTCTTTTTAGTCTTAGTAATTTTTTTTGCATGGATATTTATTATCTGTCTATCAGTTTTTGCATATGCAAAGATGAAGAAAATTTGAAAATTTCTTATTATGATTATTATTTCATGTTTAATTATATTAACTAATTATAATTTAATTATGTATCCACAAGCAATCTAGGCAGCATATTCAACAAGGATTATAATAATTAATTAAAAAAATATATAATCAAAGAAAATTCACTCGGCTCTATCTTGTCCCTGAATCAGAATTTCTCAGAAGTGGATGATATGCAGTTCTCAGTACAGGAGTTCTTATTGGTGGATGATACAATGTGAATGTGAACATTTCCAGCAACAGTTGTAAAGTATCTATCTCTGGAATGCCTGTCGTTAGTGTTTACTTAGATAATTGTTACTTGGATTTGACCTTGAATTAAGTGTAAAAAACAAAAACAAAAAGTAAAAACAACAAAAAACCACACCTACGTCAGCAGATGTCAGTCAGGATGACAGCTTTTACATGCATCCATTTCCATCATTAAAATAACTAAATTTGGAAATCTTCATATATAATGAAATATCATTTAATAAAACATCATGAACATGAAAAGTATGTGCTTTCAAAGTTCATCAAGTGGGCCGGATTGAACCCACTAGCGGGCAAGTTTTGGCCTGCGGGTCGTATGTTTGTGACCCTTGGTGTAAACCCTGCGTTTATTTAAACGAATCCTGGGGGCAAAGGTCATTGTTTTCACTGCCTGTAAAATGTCAGAGGGCGCCAGTTACAATCAAAGGTACATAATATCTATTAATAACAACCGTGACCCAATGAAACCTGGTTATCAATGAGTTAAACTTTAAAGGTAAAGACCTTGAATCACCCTCAGCCATAATAATAAAACTGCGCAGTTGTTGTGGAGAACATTCATGAATGAAGATGATTTCAATGAAAAACAAACTTTACATTTTTTTAGTTACCTGTACAACTGCTCTGTGCCCCCCATAAATAAAAGCAAGTGGTCTTGTGATCATCTCCCTTTGTTTCATTACGCTAATAAATAATTAATCGTCAGCCTCTTTATCATTTCTTTATCAAAGAAACATTTTATGTCGTGTGGTTCAACAGCGTCATAAGTAAAAGGCTGAAATTTATGACTTTGTCAAGATTGTTCTTGAGCAATAAAAGGTTAGAACATTGTCGTCCACGTAGCGTGGCGTAAGGTAATAATATCTCCTGGTGGTTTAAAGCCAGTGCCCTCGTGTTTTTCCACAGTCCTAAAGTCTCCTGGTGTTTGTTATGGCTTTTTCCCCTTAAAGTCAGTTAGAGTTTGCCTGGAAGAAAGTCACCTGACTGGTGGCAGCCTGTTTGATGTAGCACACAGGGGTAATAAACCTCTTTTGGTTTATTTTATTACATCTGATAAGAAGGTTATAAAGGATTATGCACAAGGTTGTTGCTAATCACCCAAATTTAAATGAAGAATCACTTAAGCTCTGGTGATTTGGTGTTGGATGTTATGTCCTTCCTGACTCTATAGCTATACCTGGAATTTTCTTTTCTGGACTAGACTGGTTTGTCTTAGGTTGTTTTTTTGTTTTGTTTTTTGAAACAGATATCATTTCACTCTAAACATAAGAAATTAGAAATATTTGTGTTCATTTTTCTCTGTTTCTTTTTCCCGTCTTATCAGAGGAAAAAAATTGACATTTAGAAACTATTTACTCTCAATTCCACTCTGATAAAATCAACCTAAAAGTCTACTTTTAAAAATAATCCTGTTCTTTGTCTCTTTGCTTTGAAACATCCTGGAATATTTCTGAAACTGTGTAAACGTATTATAGACCTGGATGGATATTTTTTCTAAAAATCATTAACTGGACAATCAATAGGATTCAAATACACTTTCAGCTCCGCGAGTCAACAAATCAGTCATGTTGTCATGAAGAGTGTTTTTTGAATGGTTTGTCTGGAGGTAGATGATGTCATGGGGTTATCAAAGAAACAACACATTCATCACCGTTGGTC